TAATAAGGGATCCCACTCAAAATATCTAACTCAAAACGGTAAGCATTCTACTCTAAAATCGCATAATTAACTTCTAATGAAATCAAAATTTACGTAAGCCTCAACGAATCCAAATTCAAAGTAATCACATACCCATTACTAGAAGTTTGAAATTAGCTACTCATGTCTAAAATATATAGAATCATGTACCTAACGAAATCGAGAGAAAATAACGAGGAACCTTAGAAATTGTTTTCAAAGAAAAGCTCCTTGAATCTGGAATTCGGTCTTGTGTTCTCCCCTCTTCAATCGATCGGTTCCTCTCCTTCTCAGCCTCTTCCTCTCGTTTTCTGCTACCTTCAATCGACAGGTTCACCTTGCTGTCACTCTCGATTTTCTGCTCACTTTTCTGTCTTCAACCCAATCGAACAGCCCCTTCTTAATCGATGACAGCCTCCTCAATCACGACCTGTTGTTTCCTTCTTGATTTCTGCTCGATAACAGTCCACCAGGTCGCTGCCGTCCTCTCGATGACAGCCCCTTTTCTGTCGATTTCTCTCCTTCAACGACCGGGTCTGCTGCTCGCTGCTGTCCACTCGCCTGCTTCCTAATCGAACAGCTTCCCTCTCGCCTCTCTCGATCCTTTCCGATTTCCAATCCTCCCRATTTCCCTCTTGCTRCCTCCTATGAACAGCCCCCTTCGACCCTCTCAATCGACAGCCTCTGTATGCTGTCCTTCTCTCGGTTGCTTCTGTACCGACAGCCCCCTCAATCGCGACCTGCTCGTACTCGCCCATGATCTCTGCACGATCTCTCTCTCGCTCTGTTTCTGTTTTGGGCAGCAGGTTTGGGCCTGTTTTGGGAACTGTTTTTGGGCTGTTTTTGAGGACTGCTTTGGGCTGCAAAGAATCAAAAACAAATAATCAATTCCTCTTCTTTTCCCAACTAAAATAGCCTCATAGGATTAAATATCAACTCAAATAAAAATGGGTATTTTAAACATCTAAATGACATTAATCTCAAGGTAATTTTGACGTAAAAATGTATATATTTGCACTTATCAACTAGACCCTTCTTGGACATCTTTTTCATTGACTTGAAATTGATGTGCCCAAGTCTTGCATGCCATCGCCACGTGTCTTCACTTAGTCTCGAATGAAGGCAAATCGGTACTCCAATTTTTAATTTTATTTTATAAAGGCGATTTGGAGTTCTTTGTACCTTCATTAATAAGCAATTGTCGGCATCATGCATGGTTAAGTAATTGTCTTTCATCCGAATGTCATACCCGGCTTCAGTTGCTTGTCCGAGACTAATAATATTATTCTTCAACTCCGGGATGAAATAAATTTCCGTCATCAATCGTTGTTGCTCCGACTTTCCTTGGAAGAGGATAGAGCCTTTTCCTTTGATTCCTACACACGAATTATCCCCGAGCTTAACCCTCCCGGTTATGCCCTCATCGAGTTCGGAGAAAATCGACCGGTTTCCCGTCATATGATTACTCGCCCCGTTATCCAAATACCACACATCGTTGTCTTGTGAGTTGTATCGAGACGGTATCACCATCCCTTCGTTTAAAAACAYGGTTTCATGAAGGAAAAYGGTGTCATCTCCATCTTCGTTTTCATTGAGATTCGATTCCTGTAGCTTCTGAATTCGATCGGGACACTTAGATGCGAAGTGCCCTGGTTTGTCGCATCGATAACAAATAAGCTTCGATCTGTCCTTATTTTTATTTTTCTTATTTGGGTCATTGTTGGACTGTTTGTTGGGTCGGTTAACATTGGGTCGGTTGGATTTGTATTGGGTTCATCCATTTGAACCACTCGACCCGTTTGACCGACTCGATTCTCTCCACTTTCCTTTTCCCCTTGACGAACTACCACCTCCTATCGACGACATACCTCTACCTCTGGTCGATTTTGCGGCAAATAGAACCCTCGGTTGACCATCTTCAGTATCGACTTCCCTGATTCTTTCTTCATATGCCTTCAATCGACCCACAACGTCTTCAAACCCTACCAATTTAAAATCCAGTACCTGTTCGAGAGACGCAACAATGTGTATGAAGTTTCTGGGCAGGGATTTGAGGAATTTCTTCACTAATTTCGATTCCTCAATCGATTCCCCTAAAGCCGACGACTTTGAGGCGATTCCTGCCAGTTTTCCGGCGAAGGCATCGATTGTCTCCGACTCCGTCATCCTTAGGCGATCAAATTCCGACATTAAGGTTTGTAATCGTKCYTCTTTCACTCTATCAGCCCCTATGTTTCTTGATTTAACTGCCTCCCAAAGTTTCTTTGCCGAATCCTGATCTCCGATTTGCATGATTAGGTTTTCCGGCAAGGCTTGGTACAGTAGCCCCATGGCGAGGCAGTCCTTCTCTTCACTGGCATCGGTTCCTGGATCGATCACGGCCCAGGCCTTGTGGATTCGCAGCACCACCTTCATCCTCATATCCCACACGGTGTAATTTGTGGGTGTGAGCATTGGACACGCAACTGCAGTCGAGCCGATTAGCTTCTCTCTCACCTGAGCCGAACCAGCACCACCTTTATTTCCTTCTCCGTCTGACATCTCAACCAGGTAAGTGAACCAATTTCACAGCCCCTTAACTCGAGCTCTGATACTAAATAAAGTTTAATAAGAACGTAATTGCAAACAATAAATCAAACCACGCTTTGATTAATCGGAAAATAGCTCAAAACCGACTGTTTACAATTGTTAATTCTTAATCCTAAATCTTGATTAAGGCATGTATATATAGATCTAATTACTGACTTGTATTAGACTATAATATGGAAACTCTCTAATTAGGAAACTCTCTAATTAAGAAACTAGAAACCTGACTTTAGGATTGCTTGTTCACCAAGGGTTTGGATCCCATGACTTTAGGATTCCAACATCCCACAAATTAGGGATTGAATATCTATCCTAAATTAGGAGATAACTATCGAAGAATAATATCTATACAAACCTATAACACGTAAACAATCTTAATTCGTATTACATACTATGGATTGACTTATTTCCTTGAAGTTCATTAATACATATGGGGTGTTTGGGATTGCTTATTTGAAATAACTTGTGCTTTTTTACAAAAATGTTTATTAACTTATTATAAGTTAGAATGATTTAACTTCTTCAAAAACTCTTTATTACCGGTTTGGCACCGGTATAAGTTGTTTATCCAAACACTCAAAAGTGCTTATTACTGCTGTCATACTAAAATAAGTCAAAAAGTTATTTTCATAAGCAATCCCAAACACCCTTATAAGACATGTTAAAAATATATATGAAAATAAAATGTTGGAGAAGTCAAGTAGTCTATCTACATGAGATCCATCTCCTCTTTCATTCGAAGCCAAACTCGATATCATCTTTGGTGGCCTTCACTCGTTACGACCCAACTCTTTAGCTTTTGATCATTTCATTGATCTCATTCTTTTGCAAGATATCATAAACATTTTGCATATTACACGATAGGATTCATGAGCATGCTATTCGACAGGCAATCGCAATTGGATGCAATGACCAAAATAACTTTCAATAATCTTCACTAATAGCATATACATTATATTACATAATCATTTTGTTTTTTTTCCAATCTCAGGCAGTGTCTTTTTGAATGCATAGTTGGCATAATTTAATGTTTCGATAAAATGTGCGTGTTGGTTAAACTGATTCTTTAATATGCACCTTAAGATGTTAAATGTTCGTGCAAACATATCACCCTGAGAATCAATTGTGCCATGACATGGGGGTGCAAGATGTTGAAATGTTCTTACATCACCTCTTCCATAGAATTAATCCAAACTCCTCATAGTCTAGGCTAGAAACGACCTATAATTTTCTTCAAGGGGTGACACCATTTGACTATAAAAAACAAACATAGAGATGCTTCTCACAAAATCTTCATTGGTCTATTGATTAGTTCATTATTTTTCATATTTAAGCTCCTATGTTCTAGTCTCTTATTGCAAGTTTTTTTTTTAAAAACGTAACAAATATGAAATTAAAAGATAAAAACCAAAAAAATGACACTAACGAGATTCAAACTGAGGCTAAGGTTGAAGATCTATTAAGGAAAATTTGTGTCTTTATTGTAGTTTCAAAATATATATGACGGCACACAACGAATTGATATGGTGACATTTTTCACGACCCTAACTTTTTACACTACGACGAAGGAACGAAACGGTGACCCGTGCCATCATATCCAATATACTAGATTCATCCCTGGTCTAAATTTCTTGATTTTTTTTTTTGAATTTAAGTGGTGACCCGTGTCGCCATGTGCGTGTTCGTTATACTGATTCTTTGCTCAACCAGGTCATATGTATTTTCTTTTAAATTCGATTTTTTACATAATTTTCTATTGAACTTTTGAAAAAAAAAATACAAACCATGTAATTCTAATACACTTGAAAATATGTAATTGGATCAATTAAATACACCATAAAAATACGTTTTTTTTGTGAGAATACAAGTCGAAATCACGAATTATAGCAAGAATTGTGGACTTTTATGAGTTGGTGTCTTCCCACGTACACCATATGACTTTTATATAATGAATAGAGAGTAAATGAGACAAAAAAAAAAGATCAAAAATGGGGGGAAAATGGTCATATGGCTATTGGATATCGGTAATAAAACGATAATATTTTTGAAAAATCGGGCCGGTTCCAAACTAGTCCCTGGCCGAGCCTTCTTTTTTTACGAAAACTGTACCCGCTACTGGACGACCGGTCCCAAGGCAGTCTCAATCGGTCCGAGGACCGACTGGTCAAAAGTCGGTCCCGGTCCACCGCCAGTCCCGGGTTGGGCCCATTTCGCCATACTCTAATATTTTCTAATTGGATCCATTGGGAAAAATAAATATGGGCAAAGTCCATGAGAACATAAAGAGGCCCGTTTATATCGATCCATAAACGTCCGGGAAGATAACTTTTTAGGGGTTTTGGGAATTTTCCGGCGACCCGGAACACACACAATGGAAGCAACCAACGACCGTAATCACCATACTGCCAAGAGAAAGCGAGACGGCAATTACGACGGTGAGGATTCATTCGCCATTGCAAACGGTGGCGTCGACCTCTCCCTCTTGGAAGAAATCGAGAAGTCACAACACTCCGTCGAAGTTGTCGACGTTAAAACCCTAAAAAAACTTGTTCTATCGTTCGAGCGTCGCCTTCGCGACAACATTGCCGCCCGCCTCAAGTACCCTGACCAGCCCGAGAAGTTTGCTGACTCTGAAATCGAGCTCCACGAAGAGATCGAGAAGCTCAAAATCCTCGCCGGAGCTCCGGAACTCTACCCTGACCTAGTTAACCTCAACACGATTCCAGCAATTCTTGACCTGCTAACTCACGATAATACTGATATCGCCGTCGACGTTGTTGGTCTTCTCCAGGACCTTACCGATGAAGATGTATTAGACGAAAATGATGAACCTGCTCAGATTCTGGTTGATTGTTTAATTGAAAACAACGTGCTTGAATCGTTAGTACAGAATTTGTTGCGTTTATCAGAGTCTGACCCGGATGAGGTGGCGGCGGTTTATAGTACGCTTTCGACGATTGAGAATTTGATTGAAGTGAAGCCTGCGGTGGCTGAGATGGTGTGCGAAAGGACAAAGTTGTTACGGTGGATTATAGGGAAGATAAAGGTTAGAGAGTTCGATAGCAATAAGCAGTATGCTTCCGAGATACTGGCGATTTTGCTTCAAACCAGTGTGGCAAATCAGAAGAGGTTAGGCCAAATGAACGGTGTGGATGTGGTGTTGCAGGCTGTGGCAATGTACAAGTCGAGGGATCCTCGGAGTTTGGATGAGGAGGAGATGGTTGAAAATCTCTTTGATTGCCTCTGCTGTTTGTTAATGCCATTGGAGAATAAGGAGAGGTTTTTGAAGGCTGAAGGGGTTGAGTTGATGATTATTATTATGAATCAGAAGAAATTGTGTTACGGGTCGGCGATCAGGGCTCTTGATTTTGCAATGACAAATTATCCGCCTGCTTGTGAACGGTTCGTGGACGTTTTGGGGCTTAAGACTGCTTTTCCTGCTTTCATGGGTAAGGCAAGTTCAATTCTCTTCCTAATATCACATCAACATTGATTTTTCTAATCTTTAATCCGCTGCTAGTTGCAAGCTTTAGCTTTTGTTACACCCAGAAGTAGGTTAATCATAACAATCCTATTGTTCTATAATATCTAATTTTAGCTGTCATTATATAGGTTTCATAAAGATTTTGGAAGGCATAACATCTGTTTGGTTTTGTAAATGCATATACCAGCTTTTAGATTATTTTGGAATGATGATAAGGAGAGAGTGTGTGTTCCTGCGGGCTATTTGAAGAGGGTTTACTAGTACTTCAAATGAGCATTGTGCAATTTTTGTTTCTTGAGATAGGTTTTCATTTTCTTCCATCCACTTATACTTGTATTTCGGGTATGCATAGAACTTATTCCAGATAAGACATATTGTTACTCCCAGTTGACTACATCTTCAATTTTTGGAAGCCTTTCTTTCTTAATTTCTCTTATTCATAAGATTTAGGTGCTCCATTACAACGCTTGACTGGATTCTATGTTTGCTTTATCTGGTAATCTACTAGACGTGGTTGTTTTCACTCCTTCCATGTATATATTTCTAGTACATTGTAGAACTTGTTCTAGAGATTAATTGAGATCACTTTGTTTGTGTCCGATGACTTTATATGATTTATATTAGATCATTTGTTATATGTTGCATGCTTTAGCTGATTGTTTTTAAGGTGTAATTTTTAATTTCTCAAACTTCAAATATCAAAAATCATAACATGGGTTGATTTAACTTCAGATTCCAATGCTCAAAAACAAGAAAAAGAGATCCAAAGAAGAATTTGAGGAGCGTCTTATATCATTAGTCGCATCACTTTTTGGTAAGAAGGCAAGTGAACCTTGATCTTGTATATTTATTTATTAGTTGCATTTTTTTTCTGTGTGACCATCATTCTCACCATCATTGATATGAACATGCACTTGTATGGATGTTTAGCTGCAGCTGCCACTATTGTCTTTACTGTTGTCTTTTTTACTTTCTTATGTCATAATGGCATAATAAAGTATGAGTCCCTTATTTTACATGCATGAAAGAAGTTATGTTAAAGTGTTGGGGTGGCAGATTATGACAATGTTTAGGAGTAGTCAATGGGTCATGGTCCTAAACTGATATCATGGGTAGAGGTTACCTTTATTTTTATTTGCTTGTATGGTTACCATTTTAAGGTATGCAGAAAGAGTTTTGACTTTCTTCTTCCTCTCCTCTCGGTTCTTGGAGATCGCCCATCTCGAATAGGGCATATCAACTAGAGATCACTCATCTTGAATTGGGTTGTAATAATTGGTGCTTTCATTGAGAGAACCGTAAACATGCCGCCATACAAAGAAGTTCCATCCTTGTAGGAATCCATGGCTCAACTTTCAGATAACCTGGCTAAACTCCAGTTGCAATTTACTCGGGACCGATCTGAGTTTGCAGCCACCATATCGGCTTTCATCACCACCGCCATTAACAACCGGCCTTCAAATTCAGATCACCTCTTTGCATTCTACGAGCCCAACTTTACACCCCCACACCTCCCCATAACCTTCCGATCATACTACCAAAATACATCTATCCACTTTCGACGGAATGAATCCCCTGGAATAGGCTGAACAATATTTCAGATTTTATGACATTGGGCCCAAACAACGAATACCTCTCGTTTCTTTTTATCTCAAGGGGATGCCTTGAGTTGGTATCAGTATCTACATAGCAATAGGCTTCTTACCTTCTGGAGCGGAATCACCCGAGCGTCAGAATTTTGTCTTGGCCCTTCTACATATGAGAACCATCAAGCGCCCTATTTAAGTTGCAACAAACGTCTACCATCACGGCTTAACAAATAAAGTTTGAAAAGCTTGGTAACTGCGTCATTGGCCTGTCCCAAGAGGCGTCATTAAATGGTTTCATCTCCGGCCTTCGAGGGGATATACGACAAGAGATAGCCATTCTCAAGCCCCAACTCGTAATGTCGGACCATTGGGTTAGCTAAGCTTATTGAAGACAAGATTGCTGCTTATCGGCCCCAACAAGCTATACCACACCTTCCGCAGCTCAGATCCACCCCCCCTTCTTCCAGCACCTCCAATTAAATCTCCAACCTCTTCTAACTGTCTCTCACAACCCCTTTACCAGTCAAGCATCTTAGCCCGGAGGAAGTGCAACGTCGGAAGGCACAAGGTTATGTTTTGGGTGTCCCGAGAAGTTCCATGCAGGGCATCATTGTCAATTCCTGATGATCGAGTATCACGAGCCGCCGACGCCACAGGACAACATGTCTCTGACCGAACCTACTCTTGATCAAATTCATGGCCCAGATATGGGTGTGGTTACTGTGGGCAACATTAAGGTAGATATGTCTTCTGTCACCATGGCCGAGGAGTAATACCTGCGATATTTCAGAAGCCATTTGGGAATGAGATCCTAGCTGTTTTTTTATTCCCGACCTTGCGGACAAGGTCATTGTTGATGGGGGAGGAATTGATATGAACATGCACTCGTCTGGGCGTTTAGCTACAGCTGCCACTTTTTTCTTTACTGTTGTCTTTTTATCTCCTTGTCATAATGCATAATAAAGTATGGGTCCCATATTTTGCATGCATGAAGTGTCAGTTTCAAGAAGTTATGTTAAAGTATGAGAATGTTTAGGAGTATTTAATGGGCCATGGTCCTAAACCAATGTCATGGGTAGAGGTAACCTTTATTTTTATCCCCTAAAATGGTTACCATTTTAGGGTATGCTGAAAAGGCTCTCAGTTTCTTCCGCCTCTCCACTCTATTCTTGTAGATCGCCCATCTCGAATAGGTCATGTCAACTGGAGATCACCCATCTTGAATTGGGTTGTAACAGTCATCTTTCTTCCCGTTTCTTTAACTTCTTTTTAAATCATCCTTCCATCTCTGGAGTGATTTCAGCATATTATACTTTTGAGGTCTTCACGTGTTTGGGTATCTTAGGAGTTTGAGATGGTTGTGACTTATGAATGAATTCTTTCCAACTGTTGTCTGGATCTGTATGTTGGAAGTTTAATGAACTTTATAAGAGAAGTCTACTATATGGTCATGTTGTGAGTGACTTGCCTTGTCTTCCATTGAATCATCTTTAGAAGATGGTAGCATCTTAAATGATCTCTGTATTTTTTGGACAGCAGAAGGATTTGGGCATTCTCAGAAGTATCAAATTGGTGATAGTTGCTTTGTTTTCTTAAGAAATAAGGAAACTGGATTATCTACTTGTAGGCAATGATATGAGCACATAGATGGGTTTTTTTTTATTTTGTTTGTGTGCAGCTGGGTGGAGTTCTTCCAATTCATTTTAGGATTTTCTCTCTCTCTCTCTCTCTCTCGCGTATTTTAAGGTTTTCGAGACATTATAGAGGTTGTTAGAATATGTGGGTAGGTTGCACGAGCAGGAGTGTTATAGGAACGCATTCTGCATGAAATGGATGGTACACATTAATTGGTAATTTTCAAAAATTGCTGCTTTGAAGATATTACGTGGATGCTAAGCTGTTACAACGGTCAAATACCAAATGGCGTCAATACTGTGATTTGAAATAGGGTTATCGCGGTGGTAAAGCGGTCCACAGGTGTTATCAATATCAAAAAGAAATTCACTAATAGACTAATACTCCCAAAAAAAAGAAATTCAATAATAGATCTACAATGATGGTCAAAGGATTTAGGAAACATGGTTGAATGCTTGATGATGTCGAAAACCTAAACTTTATAATAACCGTTGACCGGTGAAGATAAGTAGATGGATTATATGATTTAAATCATTAAAAAAACAAGTCTAAGTCCAAAATAAAAGCCCAAATCATTTAAATAGGTCCAATATAAGCTGGATAGACGAAAGAAGCCCAACCACAAATAGCCGTTATGCGGACCGCTATTTTGTGAAACAAGCGGCCATTTGGTGGTAAATTACCCCGCATTTCTCTGCACCGCTATGTAGGACCACAATCTAATCACAGCAATTCCTTCCAGGACCTTGAACTGCGATTGCACCGCTATTTCACCGCCATTAACAGTATAGCGTGGATGTCAATTTTCGTGTTTTTTTAGTTAATTTTTGTATCACGGTATTAGCAAATATATGTAGGATATGTATCTTATTGGTTATAATTTTCTTTATTGTAGTATTGTTTTTATGCAGTTATATCAACTTCAAGTATATGGCTGAGGTGTTCGATTTTGTTTATGCATTTGAGCTTGTATAACACATACCAATTCAATCAAGTGCTAATTAGTTAAATCAGCTCGATGAATCGATTTACAAAGTTTGTCTTCAGTAGGTAGTATTTTCTGCCAAGATGAATCATAAAGTCTTGGCCTCTGATTTGGGAAATGTGCATTGACAGTGTCACTTTGTGTTGCAAAATAGGTGGAATTTTGAGGGGTTCAAGAAGGGAAAGATTATTGAGTAAGTTTGTGGAAAATGAGTACGAAAAGATAGACCGGCTTATGGAGCTTTATATGAGGTAATTGCTTGGGAATATGTTCTTCAGAACCCCTCCTACAATTAACAGCAGTCAGAAGCATATCCTTCCAGTATTTGTATATGTTTTTTACCTTATTTTATTGCTTTCTCTTCTGCAGATACTCAAACCGAGTGAAAGAAGAATCTGAAAGGTTGAATGCGCTTGAACTAGACGATCTAGAGGTTTACTATCCTAGTTCTTGCTTTTATTTGTATCTTTTGGCAATTATTCTCCATTTAAAACTAATATTTCGTATGTTGCAGATGGATGAAGAGGAAAAATACAATAGAAAGCTAGAATCCGGACTCTATTCACTACAGGTAACGAGTATACCATGTTGCCCTTTTCATTCTCTAATCTGGACTGAACTTCTGGGCTTGCTTGCATACTGGAGTTCATGGCATTATGTGGACTTGTTTATTTGTGGAAACATGGCACAAGAAGCTAATAATCATATAGAAGTTAAACAAATAAGAAGCAGAAGAGGACTACAAGTGACAGCAGCCAAAAAACTTTTGATAGTCATCCTGCGATGAACTAGTTTATACATCTTAGAACTATCTGAAGGAGTTTCTTCCCCTTTACTTTTTCTTTGAATGCTATGCTTTCTGGCCTCTTTTTCCCTTTCACAATTGATGTCCTAAACTTTTTCCCTTATGTTGCTACAGTTGATTGCCGTTATTTTAGGTCATCTTTGGACCTCCGAGTAAGTTGGTACCAAATCGTTGATTTTTTTTTCTATTCTGTAAAGTTCTCCTGCTAAAGCTTTTGTCATTTCAACCACAATATTGCAGGCTTCCTCGGATAAGAGCAAGAATTGAATTACTTCTTAAGCAGCAAAAGCTGACTAAAAAGGATGTTAAGAATGTACTACAGGTATATTTTGCAACTGCTGTTCAACATGGATAACACTCCCTCTGTCCCAAAATAAATGTCTATATTTCTATTTATGTTTGTCCTGAAGTAAATGTCAAGTTTCAAAAGTTACTAAATTTCCAAATCTACCCTTAATTAATGCCCAAATATTTAAGCGTTGATAAGATAGATAAATTAATCAAGGATAAAATTGTCATTTGGTTAACTAAAAAGTGTAATAATTATACATGTCTAAAACTATGTTCAAATTCAATTGTGGACACTTATTTTGGGATGGAATAACCAATGAACTTTCTTGTTTGGAATGATTAAGTCCTTGAACTTTTTTTTGGAACAAATAAATCATTGAACTTTTCAAAACATGTTAAATAAGTCCTTGGACAATTTTTTGGCACAAATAAGTCCTTG